TGAACAAATAATTTTGTTATTAAGAAACTCGCTCGAATACGGGTTCGATATATACGCACGGTTACCAAAAGCTGCCTTGAGGCACGGAAGTTGAGAGTGAAATCATTTACACAATTGCAAGCTTTTCGCTGTGCGGTTTTGAACACAGCTGCCTTTGTTTGTAACTTTGCATAATAGTGTAATTTTAACGCGTGCAGCTGAGTGCTTTGTTCTTTCGAGAACACTTTGTTCGTGCTCTGTTTTGTCATGGTTACTGATTGGCAAGTTTTTAGTTACAAGGCAGTGTTATACAACTTATAGGAATTTCTGAGACTGAGAGCATCACCTTTGCTTCCATTTCATTTTCGGGATGAATCAAATCAAAGAATTGTAACTTTAGGGCGGTTTCGTTCCTTTTTAATAACAGCAATGAAGAGTCTTCTTAGCTTGTGACAGCTTGACATGCGGAGGGCGTGGCAAACGCCGGCAACACGTTGTCGTTGCGGAGTCGATAACGTTTTAGCATTAGCCCAATAAGAAAGCAGAAAAACGTATCATGATGCAAGTAGCGTGAGCACAATAAGCAACTCCAGGATTTTTCTGCGCGTAAAGTTTCTTTATGTTCTCGATCCTCAAAATAAAACACTTTTGGGCTGTACGTCCTTGGGGTAGGCTGGCGAAAGAAAGACACGAACATAAAGAAAAAGCCAAGTACATAAAAAGAAAATAAACGCTATTCGAATGCCTTCTACCTTCAAGATCCCTTTCAATCGAGTCAAGCTTTCTGTTAATAGGCTTCTTCAATTACTCTATCTTACATAAAAGTACAGCAGGTTATTACTTTTACGTCTAAGGCCATATCGGCTTCGCTTTTTATTATAACGTCATCCGCACGCGGTCGTCAGAGTTGTCTATGGTCTAACGTAATGTTTTCGGGTAGGGGTAACTATTTAATGAAATAAAGGCTGGACGACTGCGGTTGGTTGATCATTCGGTAATTACAGAATTTCATTTTATTGGCTTTGTATACTGATGTGACGCTTCAAGGGAATGAACGTTCGAATTTGTAGCTAGAAAAAGCGCGATTGAACTGGGTATTAAATATTGCTGCGTTTAGTGCCCGCAAAACTCGTCTAAACCGGCTTACGTTGCGTCTGGATTCATGGGAACTTTAACCATACACAAAAACAAAGTTGCCAAAATAACGCTCTTTATATTATTGCATAAGCTATTGGTCTGATAATAGTATATGACAAAAAGATTTACAATTTCAAACATCTTTCAATGATATGTTGCAAGCGGTGTTTTTGCAAGTTCTCTACAGAAAATGTCGCATATTATGATAAGCGTGTTTAACTTGATGCATGATATTAAGACAACCATAATGTACACTGGCTGTAAATAAAAATGTAACTGATGCATCTTCACAGCTGAGGAGGGGGAATCGATAGGTGTGCACAAAAAGACGTCACAGTTGAAATATTATCGGGAACAGCATTTTCCTAGAGCTTTCTTCGCACGCAACAAAAATGCAGATATTAGATTTTTTTACTCAGCTCTGGTGCTTTCTGAGTTCAATTCGTACGCGTAAACTTGTTATCTGGCTGATAGGTCTAGCTTAATGTGGGCGAGAAAGTAGTTTTGCCGAATTAGTTTTAATATTTTAAAAGCTGTACAACAAAACTAATACGCAATATTGGGACAGCATAGTGATCTTGTGACAATACATATAAAGTTCATATAGGTTACAATCCTTCTTGCCAAATATATTGCTTGTCAATCGAGCATATTTTTAATAGCTTCCATTCAGATTCACAATCGTTCGTAGTATGACGCCTAAAGAAGTCGTTACATTCATTTAAATAAGCACGAAAAATTAGAATTAATTATTCGCTTAACTTTCTTAGTGTCACGAATCAGTTTTGATGATATGACCTATGTAGAAGTTTATAAAGGAATGGTAAATTAGCATTCAATGAGCATTGTTTGTAATGGCAAACTAACACCAGCTTGCGCTCAAAGCATCGCTGTGCTGTTTGAGCGAGGTAAAAGCTATTATTCTATATTTTGCATGTTCATGTTATAATCGTTATTTTTTGCGCCCTCAATTTTTGTTTGAAGATAATTCTCCCAATCTTACTCGAATTCGTTGCATATTATATACTAAGGTGATGCTTCAGATGTATTTTATCAGTTTTAGTTTTGTTTCTCTAGCGTTTGTGGGTTGTATTCTAATACAGGTGTTGCGTTTGACGTCAGTGTAATGTGAACCACACAGAATGCTAGTGTGGTTGTTTGTGGAGAGAAAGAAAATAAATAAATTAATAATTATAATACTATAATAATATTAATAATAATAAATAATTAATATTATTATTACTACTAATGTTATACTGCGTGGATCTAAAAAATGCGACTCATGAAAATGAAAATGTACCTGGTTTATTACGCAGTTCGAAAACTTGCGAAAAATTCTGACATTTTGAAATAATTGTAGCATTTCCCGGGCATATTGGCGAGATTCATTAGTCTTTTCATTTACTCAGGTTTTGTGATATACCAAAACGCCCAAGGGAAAACGTTTTAGCTAAACATTTTTAGTTGCTTTCAGTCAATGAATTTGTTTTACGAATCAGAAGTCGAATACAAGGGTTTTATTAAACAGAGTATTAAATGAAGAGCCTGAGGTTGACTTTCATAGCGTCAACAAGGCATGTATCAACACTTGAAGATAAGATATTCTGAAACTTGCGGAGCACCTTCAAATGTTTCTCACATTTCTAAACAAATTATGAAAGTAACATATGCCTGCAGCGGTAATAACTACAAAATTAGAAAAGGAACCAATTGAGTTTTAGAAAAAAAGGAAAACATGCGAAACTACAGGTTAAGATGCAATCATCAAAGTTAGAAACGACTCTCTTTTTGTTTTTGTACCAGAAAATAAATGGCGGAAACATCTATGGAAGAGAAATGTTCACTTTGTTAGAAAGATGTTAAAGAAACGGCATTATTTTTAATCCTACTTCATTTTTCTCTGGAACAAAAAAATAATTTATGGCTTTCTTGACATCACTTTTGGTAGCATGCATCACTTTCCTTAAATGTAGAGTGAACTTAAACACAAAATGGACTTTGTTCCCACAAACAAATCTGTAGATAGCGTGACGAATTGTCGCGTTCTGCAATTGATGGAAAACTAAACGGACTGAGTACAATTTCCCCATTTAAATTAAAGTTTCGAAATGACACTAAATTTATGGCTTGGCGCGAAGAGTTTTCTAGCTTGCTCCTGTGCAGCGCTTACGTAGCGTCCGGGCTATACATCGTAACACCTCCCCACAATCTCCACTTATCATTGTAATAAATTTCTTCTGGTACTCTCACGTGCTTTGCATGCTTGATCTAAGTAGGGTGTTATTTTAAAAGTTGCCTGGATATTAAGAAAATACTAATCACCGTTGTCGAAGTGCTCGCAGGTGCAATTATTTCCGCTAAAGTTCGTAATGGCTAGTTAGGAGGAATAAAAAGAGGCTCGCCCGAAGGAGGGTGTAACAGGGCATCAGTCCCGGTTGACGGGCTTCGATTTATTTTCGGAGGATTTAATCCCACCGAGCCGTTGTACTGTCGGCTTCGTCGGGCGGCACCGCCCAGTTTGGAACATTTTTGATAAAGTGAAGTAATTGGCGCTTTCTTTTGCAGCCTCGCTTCTAAACATTTCCTTACGCACGCCAGAAGATGAAGAACATACTTTAGGTGGCGAGGATTTACTGAAGCGCGATAAGGCGTTCTTTTATTTAACGCTCTGACAAACATTTCAAAGTACGCAGTTTGACAGTAGGCAATTTCGTTTAGAGCCCTTACGTTCTTGAGAGAATGCAACGTTCCCATGCTCAGCTTGCGTTGATCACATCTTACCATAGTTAAGTTTTAGTTCTAATACTTTAATAACAATAATGTATATAATATAAGTGGATTAGCAATAGGCAATTTCAGTAAAATTTGAGCCATTTATAAACATGTGTTAAATAACGCCATAGAATATGCAAAATTTGGAGCATGTAATATATAACGCGATTAAAGATACGCCATTGATGAGAATTTGACTTATTTTTGATATTCAATCATATGTGGTAATATTAAATATTAAGCCCAACTTTCTCAAAATATATCCTACAGAACACATATTCCTGTTGATCAGGGGACATTCAGTAGAAACAAAAAATGTAAAATTAAGACGTTGTAGCGGTTTTCTGGACGAACTCCCCCCTTTCACGCTCCCTAATATTCTAATTAACCACGACCGTAATTGAGGAGCGGAAATCAATGTGGTCCTAATCACGTTTGTATGTGTTGTACCCATTCAAAAGCCTTTCGGTGTCCCTTAGATGCAATATTTGCCGTGTATAATGCTGGCCTTAGGTATGTCATGAGATGTCGCTATCCGCGACACATTTCATCTCGACTAACAGCCCAATATAGCACGGCACGCTTCTCTATATAAATAGCTCAAATACCAGAAGGATAACTCTCATATTTTGTTTACTCGGTGTAATTACCCAATATTTTGAATTATCTACAATAAATCGAATTTAACTTCATTTAGATCTAATGTTGACCGAGTTATAGTATTGTACATGGGGGTGATGTGTCTCATCAAAAAAAAAACAAAACAGATTGGTATGTCTTATCATCAATGAGGAGCAGTCATTTCCCTCTATTCTCATAACCCCCCCCCCCCCCCTTCAAAACAATGCCACCCCCAACCCCCCCCCCCCCCCCCCCCCAATTGAAATGGCTGGTGAAACCCCTGAAGAGGAGGTGATAGTGCTCTCTTTTTCATATTTATTTAGTTCCCACACATTAAGCTTCAGGAGTTATGACATTGGAAAGCAAAATACCCCGAATAAAATATTTAAAACAATTTAAAAACGGTTACCCGACAAACCACGACTTCATAATAAAAAAAAAAACCAAAAGAAACTTAATGACAGATGCTCTTTTTCTTCGATGGAACTCACCGAGAAGAAAGTAGAGCAGCAACGAAACGACGGACACGGAACACCCGGCGCCGCAGTATCCGAGTCGCATGCCGCTCGCCATCAATTGCCGCACTTGCACACAAAACAAACAAACAACCCGATCCCAAAAACGGCAAACACAAACTCGATGCCGTAGGGTCAGCGGGGAGCGTACGGCGGTTCGTCGCTGCGGCGGCCGCTTTTTCGGAGTAGCATTTCCCCAGAGCCTCCGACCGCGATTCCGCACAAGCTCCCACTGAAAGCCGCCGCCACTCGGTGTTCAGACCCCCCGACTCCCCTCTGGCCTAGTTGTCGGGTTCCCCGCCTGGTGTCACGGAGTGCGCCGCTCCCCGCGACCGCCAGGGCGAGCCACGTGCCTCACACTCGCGCTCCCTTCCTCGTGCGAGCTTTCTGCGGCTTCTCACTCTAGGACGCGTGCAAGGGTGTGGCGGGGGTTGGCGAAGAAGGCACGCGGGGCTCTGGCAGCGGTCCGCTGAGGGTTCGGCGGTTCACATCGCGCACTCGTGCCATAGGCGAAGAGAGCCCCAGGGCGGCGTTGTATATACATCGGCTGCGCGTCGCCGTGTTCGGCCGGTATCTTTAAACGATGATAAAATTCACCGAGTTTCCTCTCGAGCACACTCTTTTGTTCGTCAGCCAACGGGTTACTTGCGACGGAAAGCTTTTGTTGAGTTATGCGCTATTGAGTTTAGGGAAATCTTAAGATGCTTTGAAGTCAATTAAAAAAACACGCTTGGAGTTGTTTTAGGTGTGATTACGATATCATACATTTTCTCACCACGTGCGTGTAGCAATATCAAATCTACAGGCTCGACAGTAGGGCTCGCCCGTATCCTTTTGTTGTTGGAACGTTCACGAAAAATAGCATTTTTGAAAGCATTTCTTAAACGGACGGGCGTTTTTACGTCACATTGTTGAAACACCACACATTAAAAAATACAAGTTTTTACCTTGAAATATGAAAAGAGTGACTTCTATTTCTACCAGCATCCAAAAACGACATAAACGAAGTTGTTACATTTAATAGATTAGTATAAGAAAGTAATAATGGATGGTGGCCATTAGCTGTGTGTCACGAGGTTTGCGCCTCTGAAGTAGTGTAAATGTAGAGACCCGCATAATGAAAAGATGCGAATTAATTATCTGAAAAACAGGCGTCGTTTAGTGCAGGCCTCCCAGTGTGAGTTTGATCACATTTATTAAATCTTAACTATTCATAAAGTTTTAATCATGACCTTAACAAGTATTTACTTCATTTGCGATGTGCGATACAGATAGCGCGAAGCTATTAAGAGACTCGGTACTTACTGAAATGTTGCTTTTGGTTAAGAATGATATAGAAAATAACACGTACCCTCCTCAATAACATTTTCACTTGTAAAATAATATATATATATATATATATATATATATATATATATATATATATATATATATATATATAGGTGAAGTAAGGTAAATATAAAAAAAATGAACCGGGAAAAGTTAACAAGTAAAAGATGCGTAACTAATTCAAAGTTTATTACGACGTTTCGAGCGGGGACCGCTCTTCATCAGGTGACGAGTGTACAGCCTGTGTGTACAGCCCAGCTCACGGGCTGTACACCCGTCACCTGATGAAGAGCGGTCTCCGCTGAGAAACGTCGTAATAAACTTCGAATTAGCAACTCCGACAGTACGCATCTTTGACTTATATATATATATATATATATATTTCTATACAAATTTTGCATACTTACAAAAAGCAAATTGATTCTCTTTATTATACAGGGTGATTCAAGGAGAGGCCACGCTCTTTAAATCGATTGCAAAATTCGGTTTTTAACCTATCGCGCTACGACTTCCTGTAGCATTGCTCACAGATGGTGCATTTTTTTGTAAGATTTGCAAAGAGCGAACTTACCCGAGGAAAAAGTAAAGAAAAAAAAGGCTTAGCTCCTAAGGAAACGCAGCGACGCCACCGGTCTTCAAACAACATGGCGCCGTTTCACACGGGAAAGAAGAGATGGCGCAACGAACGCCACCAACGACCCAGCATACCGCGCCGAGAGCCAGCGTATTAGCAAACAATCTTTTCGACTCAAAAGCGGCGCGCGTTCCGCAGGCGGCGACATTCGCAGAAACAAAAACAAGCGCGGTAGCAACAAGGAACTGCAGTTCCTTGTCTGCTCAAGACGCCGGCTTTCGGCGTCGTATGCTCGTTCGTTGGCGGCCGTTGGCGTCGCGACCGCTTGCGCCATCTCTTGTCTCCCGTGCGAAACGGCGCCGTGTTGTTTGAAGACCGGTGGCTTCACTGAGTTGCCATAGGAGCTAAGCCTTTATCTTTTTTTTTACTTTTTCCTCGGGTAAGTTCCCACTCGTTGCAGATTTTACAAAAAAAAAAAAAAAAAAAATGCACCATCTGAGGGCCACGCTGCAGAAAGTCTTAGCGCGATAGCTTAATAAACCGAATTTCGCAGACGATTTAAAGAGCCTGGCCTCTCCTTGAGTCACCCTGTATATTAACTAATGACCCCCCCCCCCCTCCCCCCCCCCTCCCCGAACAAAAGGAAGCTTTGTTGCTTCAAATGTACTGGCTAACTTGTGCACTTTCGGTTAGCTCTGAACCTCAGAGACGGCGTTGCAATGTCTGGGCACTTCTCAGCCGGATATTGACGACCTGTTCATAAAAACGTCATCAAATCCTTAGGCATAGTTCCCATCAAGCTGATGCAAATCCTTCGCCATTCGTTAGGACAGGAAACGCGACGTGGTGTGAAGTGACGCGACGGAATAGATGTGACCGTTCAATAAAAGTTCTTGACGTAAAGCATGCCGCACGTGATAAAAGACTGCTGCAGGACACCAGCGTTTGGAGTGGGTGACTTGCGAAATAAAAGGCCGCCCTAACTTGGCGTAGATGACCTCACGTCATGTGGCGGTCAGGCCTTCAGTTTCCAGGAAGTGTTTGCGGCGAAACAGAGATAGAACACCGACGAGCGCCTTCCGCGAGTGCTTCCCTTTCCCTTGCATCGCTGTGGGCGGAGGTTTCCGCGATGCGCCTGTATTTAGAACAATTAACTGTTTTTTTTTTTAAACGCAAAGTGTGGCGGTAGGCGAGCGCCTCATTATCACGCCAGAGTCACTGTGGCAGCGCAAGTACCAGTTGGTGACGCCACAGCACGAATTAGGAATCAAAACGTTGTATTTTCGCCCACAATGTTCAACGAAACGAAAGTGATAGCTGTAGCAAAGTCGCGCAATGCGGTGGAATGGTGCCATCAGGTACCTGAGGACGCAAATGCGACATGTTTAATTTTCATTGATGCCGTGGTTGGCGTCGTGGGTGCCCCCGACGTGCGGCGCGAGTGCTCGGTGGTTCGTGAAGTGGGGTGAGCGCTCTAGAAGTGTCTAAAACAATCGATTACGCGTAGCAACTGGATGCTGCCAAAAGTGGGGTTCCGTGTAACGCGAGTAATGTTTGAACACAAGTGCTTGAAGCAGACGATAGGAACACTATCCCTTGGTCACGTCTTGTTACTGGGGGGATGCCCGGGGCTCCCCTCTCTTCTCTGTCCGCGCTGCGCGGCTGACGGGAAAACCCGACTTCCCTCTCCTCGTGCCAAGATGGGAGTGAAGGAGGGTTTCTCCTTTCCTCTGTTTGCACCAAGAGGGGGAAAAAATGTAGTTTTCCTCATGGCGGCGACGACAGCACACGAGCTCGAAATCTCTGAAAAGTCTCGCCGTAACGGCGCGTTTACACTTTCGAATAAATCGCTTTCGTCGAAGCGGATTCCGCGGCAGCGGAAAACCAGAGCTGTTTGCATCTATCCCAGCTCCCGGTGGCTGTTTCCTCGTTTCTCTCGGAGTGTCGCGTTTTCGACAAGAAGACGCGAGATTTCATGTCGTCTGCTGCTCTCAGCGACTGTCGGCAAGCTCTCGAAGTCGCTCGGAGTACGTACCGTACGAATAGGCCACGCTCGTTTCGCCACAAGGGAAAAACCGCGCGAAGATGGCCAAGCTCTACCTCAAATAAATTGAGACTACGGTTATTCGGCGTTCTCTACTTTGTTAATAGAAACATGGAGCGCCAAGAAAAAAAAAAAAGCGGTTAACGGTTGTTGTCAGTGCTTTGCCCCGCACCTGAAATTAACGTCGAACCCGTTGTTTCAAGGGAGCTCTTCCCGCATAAATAGCTGACCTCGTGTTAGGAATCCGCTGGTTTCCTCTTGGTTCCTTCGTTTTTCCGGTGTTATTTATTGTGTACATAGGGCGCAGTGGTGTTTGAAGAACGTGCATTTCCTCCAAGCTGGTCAGATATCAACTTCTCTTGTTTTGAAGACGAATGCTTTGGGAATCTCTCTGGTTAGTTTTTGCTGTGTCACCCCAAGATGATTGTTTACGGCAAACAGGACGCTGCAGTAACGATCGTACGAGGGAGCACGCGGCAACTATCAAACAGGCGCCGTCAGGTCATATGGCCGTGCATTGTGATTGATGCCCATGCACCACGAAACAGTGAAACACAATCAGCCTGGGGCGACACAGCAAAAAAAAAAAAAAAAACAGCCAGAGAGTTTTACGGTGCATTCATAATCAAAACAAGACGGGCTGATATATGTATCAGCGAGCCGTCAGTGGCCTTATCAGATGAAGATATTATTTATTTAGAAAAAGAGGGGAGGCACTGGGGGAAGTGACTAGGTTTTATTTAAGGTATTTGAGCATGGGTACTTTCTAATGAACTATCTGTTGCGAGTGCGCCCTGTGTTGTCGTCCACTTCTTCACCTGCCCCCGTTCCAATGGCGCTCACTTCCAGTCATGAACCAACGAGCCCAGCTAAACATTTTGTTGAAGATACTGGAGTTAGTCGAGTCGTAAAACTTGGCGGTTTTCCAGAACCTCCCACACTCACTGGAATCAAACAATAGCGTTGATCACGTGACCTATCAACCAGCCAATAAATCTCGAGATTCACAGTCGATTTTTTGGGTTTCGCTAAACCTGGCGACATGCTTTGACGAGCTTAATTACGTTTAACGATAATTATAACCTAACCCAGATAATTGACATTTTACCGCAACTAATATGATGTCGAGTCTTACAGAAAAAGTACGGATACTGGGCTATACGGTGGCCCTTTTTTTTTTTTCAACATGGTGCTGACGCATTAAACTGCCGAATATTGCATTGGTCAAACCATTTACCTAATAATTTTACCTATATAACGCCTCGATGTTTCACTTCGA